AAAGGCAAGGTCATATGCCCTAGGCGCATTTAGGACAGAAAACTTAGGATATGTGGTTACACCTCACTAAAGCCATTAAAAAAACCAGACATTTGAAGTAACCCAGACTAAACACGTTAAACGTTTTGATGATAAAGAAATCTTATAAAAGGATATAGGATAGATGAGTTTATCAACCCTTTAGCAGAAGGTCGGTCAAGAACTGGACCTAACTTGTTTCTGAAGAGTTGTAACTTTGTGATGCAAGGTTTATTGACGAAACAGGCGATATTTCAGGGAAAATGCTAAGCCCATGGCTTAGCATTGTAAATTATAATGCCGAAGACTCCAGACAAGTTACATTCTTTTTTGTCCCTCTGGCTACCGAGTTTATTTGTGAAATTTCTAAATTCGTTAGTCTTTTCTTCACTTTCTGAACTATCATACTTTAAAATTGCGAAGCTTATCTGAGCATGCCTTTTATATCACGTAAGTCCCTAGGGTTTTCGTGCCTAGTCTTATATTGACTATATCTGTTGCATTTTGATGGGGGAATTAGTTTATCTGCTTCACTTTGGCTGTTGCCTTTTGGTTTTTACTCACTTTATTCCTTTAGCACCTGTGGAAACTAAAAGCTTTGATACTCGCAATGATTATGGTATGAGATATTTACCAATTAGGCCATGTAAAGTCTCATCTCTGATGGTAGCACAACCCTTTAAAAACGCCACAATATGGCCCGGAGGCAAATTTAAACACGTGAAAGAGAGTTCTCTCTCCATATCTTATAGCCATAATATCAAAGTATACGCCCCAATTTACCAGGAAAATTCATTGTGTAAACCTTCCTAATGAAAGTGCGCTTTGTAAGGCAAGACATCCGATCCACATCTCAACCTTTTTAGGCTTTTGCTTATACTCAGATGAAGCATCAGACAGATTATTAACTAGTTTATAGGCCAAATGTTTACTGAAACCACTCTGTTAGACTAGTTTCATTAACTTGGGTCATTAATCACTCTGGAGAATAAGCATACATAAACAATTATAAGTTATTATGATTATGAGGCATAAATGGAAAAATAGAGGAGTGAGTGATCGTTTGATATAAAAGCATTAACCATATATGATCAAGTATAGTCAAGAACACCTCAGATTTTCAAATACTTTACTTTGGAAAATCATGCTATTAGCAACAGTTTTAAAGCTGATTGGATTGGGAAGATACAGCTGAGCCGAAGATTAGCTTTATCCTATCGTGTCTGGTTTATAAAGATAATATATTCATGAAATTGACTTGAGGGGCCAATATAAAATCCAAAATTTTGCTTCATATATTTAAAATCTCTCTCGGACTAGGTCATAAACATAATTATAACAGCACTAATACTGATGTTGACAAATTGATATATCCGGAATGATTTTGTCCTACTCCTTAGCGAGATAACAATATTTTCACTTGATAGTATCTAATAGTAAAGGTATTTACAACACGAACTTAGTGTATAGGAAAAGAACCAATAGACAATGAAGTAAGCGTATAAATTCTTTTAATTATCGTGACTAATATTTTGATCAGTACCACTTATCTTTCCTCAATAGTAAGTTGCATAGTTTGACGGCAACAGATAGAGATTTGAGATGTATTCACCTTATTTCGTTTAATATGAAGAAGGACAGGTAGTCGAATTTTCTCACAATGATATGAGTAGAGCTGATGTTTCCATTGAATTTCACATAGA